TGGAAGAACCGAAAGTTATTTGAGGTTCCCATAGATAGCAGTTGTCTTTAGACCTTATACCCCTCATTAGAATAACATCTTTCTCATCTTTGACTAAGCATTCTGACTTTGAAAAATTGACTAACAAGCCTTTATCACATAGCTGACTAATGCTAATAATATTAGAAGTTAATCCTTTCATAAGAAGTACGTCTTCTAAATTAGGAGAACCAACACACACCAATCTTCCTACTCCTTTAATTACTCCTTTAAATCCATCACCAAATCTGATAGAACCTGAGGGATGAGACCTAATATCCACCACCAAAGCCCTCACACTCTTAGCATTGCATTCCTTTGCTTTGATTTGACTTCTCTTCAGTCCTGACATTCTTTTGAGTCATTGTTATTTCTGATGTCAGATGAGATGTTTTTGACACCTGATCTTCCTCTTCTGTCCATCATTTTCAGAACCTTGTTGAATTGCCTCCCAATAAATACAATAGAATTAGATATACCTTCATCTGTATCTAGGTCATATTTATCTTCTGAGTCTTCAACATTAGACACAAAGGTTATGCTTTTCTTTTTTTCATACTTTTCAATGATCCCTAATTCAAAGGTCTGAAAAGATCCCATAAGTTCATCAACTTTCATGTTGTTTATGTCCTGGGCTTCTTCAATGGAAGCTAACTTCATATCAAATCTCTTTGGAAGAGATCTGAGAATTTTTCTGACCAACTTAGCTTCTGACATCTTTTCCCTCAGGGCACTTGAGGCATTGGATATCTCAACAATATTCATGTGAAAATTATGAATGCTCTCATCCTCCTTCATTTTCAAGTTCTCAAACTTGGTGGCAAGAAGTTGGAGTCTTGACATCTTCACCTTAGAGGCTCCTTCATGAGCAATCTTCAAAATTTCCCAAGCATCTTTAGCAATAGTACAACTATTTATCAGTCTGAAGAAGTTCTTGTCCACTCCATTAAACATGGCATTCAATTCTTTGGAGTTTCCCAGAGCTAGCATGTCATCTTCATCATCCTAGTTTTCTTTAGCCTTCGATACATCAGTAATCTTACCATCCTTATCTTTAGCCATTTGTGGATCCCATCTCTTGACCACAGACTTCCAAACCTTGTTGTCCACATACTTCAGAAAGGCCACCATATGTGCTTTCCAATATTCATAATGGTTCCATCAAGAATGGGTGGTCTGTTCACAAATCCTCCTTCTTAGTCCACTGTACCAAAAAGTATATTCCCTAGATCTCAGCCAGATATAGGGCAGGATGCCTGCTCTTATCCCAATTAAAATTCTGGTATGCAGATATCAGATGTTCTAAGAGATGTTGAGACACTGATATTTGTTTAAAATAAAAGGACAAAATAACACCTAATTAAAGATACAAAAAAAATAACTGAACACAGAGAGTTGTTAACCCAGTTCGGTGTACAACAACACCTACGTCTGTGGGCTACCAAGGCAGGAAGGAAATCCACTATTAGTAATATCAATTCAAATCTAAACAATCCCAGTTTACAACTTCTCACTTAATCCCTACCCAGTGCAATTTCTACCTAAGACACTCCTAGATATAAGAATCTCCTATCACTTCCTTTCTAATCACAATAACAGTGATAAATTTAACAGTAAATCAAAAGAAGGAACACTTCAAAAACATTACTTGATCTTGCTTAAAAGCTCCAATCAAGTATAACACATTCTTGCTTAAAAGCTTAGAGTGGACACTTACAACTCAATAACATCACTCTAGTTCAAGCATCTAGTTAATGAATGAATGGGTCACAAACAGTCTACCTCAATGTATCCGAGAATACATGAGTGGCACATAATACCACAACACACTAAAAAAAGTCTCAAACCCTAAACTCTTATTTTCACACAAGGTTTCTTTTTCAATAATCCTTTTTTTTTTTTTTTTCATTTTAGGTTTAGTAAGTCTCTATATATAGACTCGTGCAGTATGGGCTTGGACTCTTCAATCAATTCCATTATGTCAGTTTTAAGCCATCTGCAAAATCTTCTCCACGATAATAGGAAAGTTTCCTAAAAAGTCTCATCATCCAAATTTAGCAATTTGTATACAGCTGGAGATACAAAAACTTGTTCCTGATAAAATCTTCTTGACTTGCGAAAATTACTGAAATATATCCCAAAAGAAGTATCACAGAGTTAAAACAAATCTGTCAAGATTTAAAACAGGCAGAACAGATGTTCTGGTATAACATGTTACACCATCTTTTAGGACATCTGCTCTCAAGGTGACCTGAACAACATGTTACAACATCACACACAACATCCTGTTGTGAACCATATATTAGAAAAATTGTTGTCAATCCTCAAATCATGGAACCTACACTACAAGCTTTAATACTGCTCCATGGGAGCCGACCTGAAGGATTTATGTGTCGGCCTATACTGAAGTTGAGGCTCGTATAGATAGACCTGTTCATGCATAGGTCGGCCTGAAGTGACTTAAATGCCCAAAAGCATGTTTTTCAATGGAAATATGATGTTGACTCTTTTTCAAACTCATTTAAATGCTTCCTAATGCGAAGATGCACATCTAGAATGGGAAGACACCGTCAAATATACACAACGTTATACTTTCCTAGTTTTGACATCACTCAAATATACAAAAGTACTCACACTATGATATGAGTATACATCGTACTCTTCCACCATTCAAACTCAGTAGAGTCTTCAATGAAAATAGGAGGTCTAACTGTATAGTTGTTCTTTTCTGTGTTACTATAATCATGATTTATAGTGGCATGTGGATTAGGAGTACCACTATCAGATTAAAAAACACCAGACATAATTCAATGTGTTTTTCTCATGATCTTTTTTGCACCGCTGTTAAGTGTTAAACACAGATCGTGCTTGATGCCAACTGAAGATGAGAAAAACACAAGAAAAAAGGCTTAATTGTGTTGAATTTTTCTTTCTTTTTGAATTCTTAAGTCAGATTCTAAGCACAAGATTGTAGAATCTGATTCAGTTAGAGGTAGGCACCCGGTATAAAATGCAAGAAAGAAGAGTAACACATAGAGTTATCCTAGTTCCTCTCATAACTTAAAAGTAGTCCAGTCTCATTGTACTTATAAGATATTTTCAATATAATCATATACAAGATTACAATTTGCTCAAACACACAAGAAAGAGACTTCATTTGCTAAAACAATAAGTAAGAGACTTCTATGCTCATGCACACAAGCAAGAGACTTCTTTTGTTCAAAGAATAAAGTAAGAGACTTCTTTGCTCAAGCACACAAGCAAGAGACTCTCAATACTCAAACACTTAGTAAAAGACATCTAATAATCTACCTACCAGATAAATCATTGTCAGGAAAATACACTTGATATACAGCCGTGGTGTATAAAGAATACAACACAATTGAACTCTTTAAAGACTTAAGGTTTTCTAAGATATACAAGGATAAGAAATCCTAAGTTTAGTTTGTGCTTTTATGTTAACACAATGACTTTTCTTTTGATTTCAATTGAAGTATCTTTCTGGAAGTTTTTAACTCCTTAAATAGAGAAGAAAACGAGTCGCTGAAGATGAAACACAATAGAATCTTCTGAGAAGCTTCAAAAGATATGTTGGGATGTTTCATCAAATTGTCAGGTTATGTGAAAACTAGTTTGAAAATCCTTTGATACACAAGAAATTAGTAGTTATATCCCAGCATACTCTAAAAAAATAGAGCTTAGGGCTTCAAGGGACAAAGTATGTTTAGAGATGAATAATGATATATCAGTGTCATCTTGGTACTTGTGCTTTAACTGGCTCAGGTTCTGATCATCAAAGATAGACTTCTTCAAAGTCTGATCTTCAGAGGGTGACTCCTTCAGACTCTGACCTTCAGACGTTGACTTCTTAAGAAGATGACTTCTTCAGTGTCTGGTCTTCAGCTTCTGATCCATCAGATTTAGATCTTTAAGCCTCTCATTGAATGTTCTTAGTCAAAAACAATACTTGAATTCTACATGAAATTTCAGTCTATGATCTTGCACACTTAAACAAACATTAGTATGCCCAATTGTTCTTTAAATACTTTGTTATCATCAAAACCCAAGGGACATGGACAAACCAATTATATTCCAACATAATTCATTCCAACATCCAAAATAATTCATTGATCATTTAAACTACATATCAAACACATTGTTCATTTAAATAACATATATAAACTACCTATTACATAACCAAATGTTCAATTTCTCCAAATGTATATAGAAATAAAAAAATATAGAAAAATAAAAAACTTACAAAATGTGAGTTTAGTTTGATGTTAAGTGATCTCTTTGATCAATTGAATGTTAATGGCAGAAGTTTTGAAGTGAGTTGAATGAGTTTGAGAATATGAGTTGAGAGAGTTTGAGACTTGAGAGATTGAGAAGTTGAAAGAGTATTTTGAGAAATGAGGAAGGAGAAGAAACTCTAGCTCCATTTTGATTAAAACAATGTTCAGAGATGTATCTTCGTAAACTACACGAAGATACATTTCTGTATTTTTTTTTTGACATAACCTTAAAATCTGATTTAAAAGCGAACGTGATTAGGGTGTGTATATAAATGTATTTTCAAATTTTATGGATAGTTTTGATTTTTTCACTAAGGTGGAGAAGCAATGGTTAAGATGCCTTAACCAATTTCCTAATTATTTGGCATCAAAACTTTAAGCAAGTTGTATTGGATTTGTATGTGTCAAATTAACATTGAGCCCAAATTGTGACTTTCTTTAGCTAAATATTTGATTTACTTGGATATTTAGGGAGAATGACAGAAGCTTATTGATCAACTCAAATAATATAGATAGGGAAATAGATCCTATAGATAGATATTTAATACATACTTCGACATTCAAAAACAAAGGTTTCCAATCCTTTTTTCACATCCAAAAAGGAAGGACAAATAAACAGACAAACACAATACATTATCTTATTTCATCCATAAAATACCTCAAACCTTTGAAAACCTAGATTCCATTTTACATATCACTCTTAAGAGAAGCAGTTCCATTGAAGTCACCCTCAACAATTTCCCCATCCCATCTTTCTCCACCAAATCCAAATGGATACTTCTTCTGTTTATTAGGATAAAACACACCAAAATGTTTTTCCAATTCAGGACTCTTTTGATTCTCATCAAACATAGCAAAAATATAAGCCTCAGTAGCCCAAGGCCTTCTAGGAGTACCTTTCCCAACGTGACGAATCAAGTTATCGAGATAAATACGCGCATTATCATAAGAAGTTGCAGAGCCTCCATCTGAAGGCCAACCACTCTCAGAAACAACAACATTCACCCAACCAATTCCAGTGTTATCTAGGGCAGCATGCACAGAATCCAACATAGCATCAAACAGGTTTTGATAACCATTTGGTCCATCTTGCACCATAACACCAGGAGAGTTGAAAAGTGCATATGGTAGCGATATATCGCGCGGATTACCGACATGGCTAAAATAAGGATAAACATTAACAAGTAAAGGTGCTCCTGCATAAACCAAGTAACCAATGAAAGGATCTAGGTATGACCTAACATCACTTCTGAAAGAGCCTTTAGATGGAGGGAAAGAGTTTCCGATAAGGGTCATGTCTATAGCTGTTGTAACCTTGATTTGATCATGAAGACCTTGAGCTCTTATGGCTTGGTATACGTTTTGTGTTGCAGGTAGAACATACTGAGCTAGCCATGATGATCCTCCAACTGGACTCACTTCGTTACCAACTGCAATGTACTTAATTTTGACACTAGGGTAGAAGTTTAGAACGTTTCTTTGTACCCATTGACGTGCGCTGTCTTGGTTTGTGGCTAGGGTTTGGAGATCTGAATTTGGTATGCCGAGGATGAGTTCAATGCCTGAATCTCGTAGTGCGTTGAGAGCAGGTTGGTTGGGATCATAGAGTCGCATTCTTTTGATGTTGTTTGCTTTGTAGAGAGCTATGACTTCGTTTGCTGGTGGTAGGTTGTTTCCCATCATGCCATAGCATATGCCTATTTGAGCATCTAATACAATAAAATGGGGTTTAGGATATGATCATATTCAATGTTTGCTTAAACATTATAAATCTAAATAGGACTTTTTTTAAAAAAAGACTTTAATTGAGCGTGGAAAAACAAATTACAGCACTGAATCTAAAATTTATCACAGTTAAATTGAGATTAAATAAAACCTTATAACCTATTTGTCACACTAAAATTATGGTAAAATAAAACCTCTATTAATTTTTTCATATTTAAGCTGCAACTAATCTACAAAATATTCTTTTAAAAAATTAGATCAATTTTAACCTACACATAATCTTAAAAAAACATAAAATGATTTTGTACACCTCCAAGTATAGTTTAGGAAAAGTTATTTTTTTAAATATTTAATCAATTTATTTATATTTTCCAAGTATTTAGTATTTTTAGTCTATTATTAGTTGGTTGATTTTAATATTACATAAAATTAAAGGATTTTTTTTTTTTTATGAATTTAATTGATATACACTAATTGTGTAAAGATTTTTTACACTCACAATCCTTAATTTGTTGAAAAAAATTGTCTTTAATTTTAATCACTTGAAAAGTAATACTAACGTATAATTTTGATGCATTGACAATATAAAACTTTCTATTGTTTAACAAACAAATAACCAGTCCAAATTTTCTTCTGCAGAACGACATAGTTTATTCATTTTAAACATATTAGTATTTCATACATATATTCAATAATTTGACAAGATATCATTAAATACATGTGTGAAATATTTTTATATCAAACAATGCATATAATTTAAACTTTATTTATATGAAGTTGATGAGGTTTTTTTAATAAGAGATCATAATCAGTGTTTGATTTAACTAATTATATTACACGAATATACTTCAACCATATCCTACAATTGAGTAGTATAAAGCAATCTTTACATCAAAGTAAACCCACTATCACACATCAATTTAAAGATTGAAAACTAATTAATTATCATTTTATTGAAGGATCTGTGACATATCTACTTGCTACAAAACTGAATGATTGCCCATATCAACTTGCTATTACAAAAATATATTTAAATACATATATTTAGATAAACTTGATATAACTTTAAAAAAATTGTTTCTCTCTCAAATGTGTCAGTTCATAGTAAAAACTTGACTTTATAATTTCTAAAGAATAGAGTTCAAAATTTCTATAAAATAGCTGTAAAATGATAATTAATTAGTGTAACTGTTATTAATAATAATTTCTCTTCTTCAACTATCAAATAAGTAAAACTATTTGAAAGAAATGAAAACTATATATATATGTGTGAAAAATAATAAGTAGAATTATCATGAAAATGACAGAAATTTGCCATCTCTATATAAGAGAGACCAAACCTGCTGTGGGAATAAGGTTTATTGTGAACAATCCCAATAGAAAGAGCAAAACCAGAGAGAATCTCCAGGTTCTAGCAAAGAAAAAAGCCATATGATTGAAAATAAAGTATGAGGCACTGAATTGACATCTCATGCCATTCATGTATATATATACACATCTTGCTGACCATTGCCTATAAAAAAAACAATTAAATTTAAATTATTTTATTGTTGAATAAATATAAATAAAGTATATATCCAGCAGCCTCCATCTTCCACCTACTAAATATACAATTCTTATCTTTTTTTTAGGTTAATCATGGAAGTCATGGTCTTTGTAATCATTTTTATCCTTAAACTTAGACTGGGAAAAATCTTCACTTTGTTTATTAAGACCGTTAACTTCAAGCTATAATCGATGAAATTCCTATTGGCTTACATATTATTTAATACATAGTAAAAAAAATATAGAAAATTATTGAGATATTAGATATAATCTAAGTTGAGTTATGTAACAGGAATTCAAAGTTAATTAGAATTTAGAGTTTGTTATTTAATTATTGTTATTTTATTTAGTAGTCAAATCACTTAGGTATATATAAATAGACACTTTGTAATTCAGTTTTGTTATCATTCTGTTTAGTAATATTAATTCTTATTTTTTTATTCTCTCTTTCTCTTCTCACTAAAAATGTCTCACGCATTAACACATTGATATTTAGAGCTCCGGTTAGATTTTTGATCGCGCTTTCAAAAATCACACGTCAGAGATCGTGTTTCTGGAATCATGGGTTGTTGTTGATCAATCGTTGTTAAGATGAATGGTAACAGAAATTTATGAAACTCTCTTCCAACTCTTGACGGCAAGAATTGTCTTTGATGGAGAAAACAAATGCAATCTCTATTTGACTTTCATGAAACCCTAGAAGTGGTTACTAACGGCGTTCATGCGCTTGGTGAAGATGCAACCGGCGCATAAAGAACCACTCACAAGGATGCCAAGAAGAAGGATTGCAAAACAGAGTTTTACATTAAACTGGCGGTTGATGCGACTAATTTCGACAGAATTGCTCATGCTAAATTGGCGAAGGAGACATGAGATATTCTTGTCAAGTACTATGAAGGAGGCGAGAAAGTCAAGGTTGTCAAATTGTAAACTTTGCGACGAAAATATGAATTATTGTCGATGGGAGAAAATGAAAAGATTGCAGGCTATGTGTTGAAGGTGCATAAACTCGTCCATCTCATGAAGGGTTGTGGTGAAACCCTAATTGATAAGATGATAGTTGAGAAAGTAATGCGTATGTTGATCTTTCACTTTGATCACATTATCGTAACTATTCAAGAATCCAACAATCTTGAAACCCTAAAACTGGAAGATTTGGTTGGTTCGTTGGAGGCACATGATATTAGGATTTTCGAAAAGAAAGAAGTTCAAGACTCGATACAAGCACTGCAGGCTCAATCGTGAAAGAAGAATGGCGATTTCAACAAGTTCAAAGGAAAAATTGACAAAACTCGGGGCAAGAAGTATTGGTCGAATCCAGACAAGAATAAGATCGATGATAAAAATTCTGAATTCTCAAAAAGAGAAGAAGGAAATTCCTATCAGAAAGACAAAGTAGAGAAAAAAGGTGTGCAATGTTATAACTGTGAAAAGTGAGATCACTTGGCCAAACATTATTGGTACAGGAAAGACAACGGATCGACAAAAGACAAGGACGAAGGAGCGAACCTTGCACGTTAAGATTAAGATGATTCTGATGATATGGTGGTTATGGCTGCAGTTTCAGATGACCATGTCGAATCAAAGATCTGGTTCCTCGACTCAGGCTGCTCGAATCACATGACTGGTCAAAAAGTATGGTTAGTAGATTTGGATGAGTCGAAGAAGAGCAAGGTCAAACTTGATGATAATAGCTCATTTCAAGCAGAAGGTACTGGAAACATAGTTATTCAAAAGAGTAATAGAGCAAAAGCCTTGATCAAAGATGTACTCCATGTCTCCAGAATGAAGTATAATCTGCTAAGTGTAGGACAACTGGTTGAAAAGGGGTTCTCAGTGGTTATGAAAGATGGAGTCTTAGAACTTTTCGACATCCAGAATAACTTAGTCTTAAAATCTTCTCTGTCAAAGAATGGAACATTTAAGACCATGATCAGTTTGACTGAGGTACAATGTCTGAAAACAGTTGCCGACCACAAGAATAGTTGGTTGTGGCATCTGAGGTTTAGTCATCTAAACTTTAGGTTGCTCAATCAACTGATCACTCAAGTTATGGTAACTAGTATACAAATTGTACATCCTGCATACTCAAAATTGTACATTCAGATGTCTGTGGTCCTTTTGAAGAGCATATCATTGGTGGAAACACGCATTTTGTCTCATTCGTCGATGAGTACAGTCGAAAGCTACAGATCTATGTGATAAAATGAAAGGACAAAGTATTTGAAATCTTTAAGAGATTTAAGATACTTATCGAAAAGCAGAGTGAAAAGAAGATTAAAGTTTTGCAAACAAATGGAGGTGGCGAATACGCATCCAACATATTTGAAGCATTTTGTGCAGAACATGGTATTGATCATGAGATAACTGCTCCTTATACTCCTCAAGATAATGGAATAGAAGAAAGAAGAAATAGAACCATATTGAACATGGAGAGATGCATGTTGAAGAAAAAGAACTTGCCAAAATCCTTATGGAGTGAAGTTGTTTCGACTGTTGTTTATATTCTAAACAGGTGCCCTACCAAGAAGATGAAGAACAAGGTTCCTAAAGAAGTGTGGAGTGGCAAACGACCATCAGTGGTTCATCTGAAGGTGTTTGGCTCTATTTTCTACAAGCATATTCTTGATGCTAGGAGAAGGAAACTTGATGATAAGAGTGAACCTATGATTCTGATGAGTCAATCCAATTAATCAGAAGATTGTCATGAGTCGAGATATTGTGATTGATGAAAATTTTGCATGGGATTGGAATTCTAACAATGCAATTGACAAGCCATTTATGAGCTATGATTTTGACGAAGCGAGTAATAATATCGAATTCGAAGATATTATTGATATTCCAGTTGAAGTCGAAGTAGTCAATGACATTCCCGGCACAATCGAAGTCGAAGAGGATATGGATGGCACAAGACATAGACCTCAAAGAACTAGAGCTCGTCCAGTAAGACTTCAAGACTATGAAGTGGTTGGTGATGATGAAGTCACAACAGGTGGAGAACTAGTTTATTTTTCTTTACTTGCAGGTACTGAACCAATCAACTATAGCAAAGCCTTCAAAGATAAATATTGGAAGTCTGCTATGGTAAAAAAGTTACAAACAATTGAAAGAAACAAAACATGAGATTTGGTCAAATTGCCAGCTCATACAAAAGCTATCGAAGTGAAGTGGATTTCAAGTTAAAGCATAATCTTGATGAGTCGATAGCAAGACATAAGGCAAGATTGGTAGCTCGAGGATTTATTCAGAGAGCAGAATTCGGCTACTCTGAACTATTAGCACTTGTTGCAAGATTGGAAACTGTTCGACTAGTTATAGCTTAGACATGCAAGCAAGGCTGGTTGACATTTCACTTAGATGTGAAATCAGAATTTTTGAATGGACCTTTAGATGAAGAGGTGTATGTCACACAACCTCACGGGTTTAAGATTCAGGAGGAAGCGAGGAAATTATACAAGTTTCACAAAGCACTCTATGGTCTCAAGCAAGCACCTAGGGCATGGAACAAAAAGATCGAATCATACTTAGTCGAATTGGGATTCGTCAAATACAAATCTGAGTATGGTGTCTATGTTCAGGTTGTGACACAAGATATAATAATTATCTGCTTATATGTCAATGACTTATTAGTAACTGGTAGTAGCTTGGAGAACTTGTCGAAGTTCAAAGAGCTGATGAAAAAGGAATTTGAAATGTCGAATTTGGGAACTTTTCGTACTTCCTAGGCATGGAATTTCAAATGTCGAAGCAATGTATGATGCTACACCAAATAAAGTATGTCAAAGAGATACTCAAGAGATTCAAAATGGATGATTCGACTTTTGCATCTTCGTCTATCAAACTAAATTTTAAGTTGGAAAAGCATGGAGAGAAAGACAAAGTTGATGCGACTTTGTTCAAACAAATTGTTGGATCTCTGAGATATGTGTGAACACTCAACCTGATATATGTTTCTTAATCATATTAGTGAGCAGATATATGAGTGAACCAAGGGTGTCACACAGAAAGGTTGCAAGAAGAATCATGAGATACTTAAAAGGATTGACAAACTATGGAATTTTATTTCGACGAGACTCTAAAAGCAAAGAAGCTATGGTTACTAGTTATTCAGATGTTGATTGATGTGGAGATAAGGAAGACCGAACAAACACTATTGGATATTTCTTTCAAGTATTTGGTTCCCCAATCTCATGGTGCTCAAGAAAGCAACATGTGGTGGTATTGTCATCATGTGAGGCTGAATATATATCAGGATACTATGATGTATGTCAAGCAATTTAGATCATACCTATGTTGGAAGAGATCGAGGTCAAAATGGAGAAACCTCTGGTACTGCAAATCGACAACAAGTCAGCCTTAAATCTGGTGAAGAATCCAGTTTTGCATGGAAGAAGTAAGCACATCGAAGCTAGATTCCGCTTCTTAAGGGAGAAGGTGAATCAAGGTGAACTTGAAGTAAGGCATTACTCAAGTGAAGCATAATTGACCAATATTTTTACCAAAGGATTGAAAATTGATAGGATCCTAACGTTAAGAAAGAAAATGGGAATAATTCAGATCGACAATAATTAGTGTGTTTTGACAACTTAGATTATAGGGGGTATGTTGAGATTTAGATATAATCCAAGTTGAGTTGTGTGGCCCAAGCCCAATGCTAATAAGAGTTTAGATTTTGTTACTTAGTAGTCAAGTCACTTAGGTGTATACAAATAGACACTTTGTAATTCAGTTTTATTATAATTCTATTCAATAATATCAATCCTTATTTCCTTATTCTCTCCTCACTAAAAGTGTCTCATGCACTAACAAAAATATAAATATACCATCATAGCGAATACCCACTTTTTAAAAGATTTAATTTATTTTAAAAATACAATGAAAGAAAT